ATGGCAGTTTTAGTTGGACTGAAATGGGTTGTAGTGGTCCTTTCCAGAGCAGAACTTTCAATACTCTTCTTCCGCTTTGTGGGTATTCAAGAACCTACTGACATAAATCAAGAGTACCGCTCAACATTACAGTATCAACATTACTGAGGTACACCAAACCATGGAAGCAACCAGACAGTAAATTGCCTGTTGTTAATGCAGACATCACATAGTCATAACTAGTTGACATATTCATGAAGAATAGTTTACCATTGATGGGGATATTGATGATTCTGTCTTTTGGTTGTGATTAGCGATGTATTTACACTCACGTTTCTATGGTTTTAAGGTGTGGATTCAGTCTTGCAGCTACGCCCTGTTTTCCATGGGTATAGCCATGGGGTGTATCATCACTATGTCTGGACACAACAGAAAGGATAACAACTGCTTCAGGTATATTCTAGGTCATACAGGTGTTACTGAAATACTTCAGTTGTTGCATCAATACATGGTAAGACACATTTTATGAAAATTAGTGACTAACCAATGTCAGATTCTAGTATTTCCCTAAGCAGGAAGTATATGTTAACCAACATATAAGGACACATTTACTTCCCAACCCAGAACTAATGATTGCAACGATATTCACGTAATTGCACATATTCAAATACCTGAACGCTTTAACATTCAGACATTCAACAGTATTACAGTATAATTGTTATGTTTTTCTTAAAGGGATTCAATCAAAATATGCTTGATGGATTCACTCACCAACGTTTTCTTCGGCTTCGCTTTTTTCTGTATCGTTGGTCACGTGGCTTTCCAACGTGGAGTAACTGTTGAAGCGTTTGAATCCTCTGGTGAGTAACCTGATTATTACCTGATAAATGCTACCTGTTTCTGGTGATTTCGGGATTCCGATGTCCAAGCCTCATCAAGTCCCGGTTACTGTTTGTCAGCACCTATCCAGGCCAGTAGGTTAAATCAAAGTTGTAAACAAGACCAACATCAGCATTAATCATCCTTGACAATTTTCGGTGCTTAACAGTACAATGTAGGATGCATCAAACACTATTAAGAGTCACACTTGTGCTATGATCGCTTATGCAATTTCTTTCTTAATGAAATAATCTGTGTCGTTTCAGGCCTATTTTAGCTTATTGTTTGTAAGAGTGAGTGAGTGAGTTAAAATTTACCGTCACATCGGCAATATTACAGCCATATCGTGACGAGGATTTGAATAATAAACGAAGTCGCAATAATTTAAGTCAAATTATAAAACCCTGTCAACGGCGGACAGTAAAATAACCAGAGGATCAAAGATATAAATATAAAACTACTATGAAAAAGTAAAAACTTTTAACTATAGAAGACAGTACAATATAAAAACAGGCTATATATTGCCAACAACTGAAGGTTGATCACCATACTACTAGAGACCATGGGGACTAACAGTACATTTGCTTCCTGCATGGACCCTAGCTGAATTTACACCATCCCTTCAACCATTAGCAATGCAGTCAAATCTAGCCATACATTAAAAATGACACATATTCCACGATTAAGAAGGTGGTAAGTAATAAACTTACCTAGAATGTTTTGGAACCTACGTACCCTCTCAGGAGGACAATCATTTTACAGTAACACCACCCACCCACCCCCACCCCTTCTTTGAGAATACAGCCACTAGCAATCGCAGTTGCTAGTTTAAACTATACCAATTATAAAATACATCTATCTACTAAAATATATCAATCAAAATGAATCAATTAAATCAATTTCTTTTAATAAGGCATTAACTAATTGAGTATTTTTATTATTAACTAGGATTGCCTCCTGGGCAATTCTGACGGTCTTCAGACTTCCCCTATACACCCCCGTGGCTACCTTCACTTGTACTGTTGCTTTGGACGCCAGCTGGACCGTCCATTTTAACCCTCGGAGTTACGGGTGTTGAAGTGTATTGAAGTGCTAGAAAGCGTCCAAAACGCAGGCTAAACATGTTTTTGAGACGAGAGCGGATCGGTGAAATGCAGCCGGGGTCGCGGGGTCATGTACCTTTTAAATAGTTCCCATAGAAGATATAGTTCTCTCTTTAACAGCGGGTAGCTCCGCCATCCTTGGGTCTACGGTCCGAACGATTAGAGCTCTGGTATCACCATGACCCTAGCTATCTGACGCATACACGTATGTGCATATACTGCTCTTGTGAAAAAAACCCATAGATTTATGTGTATATAGTGCATTTGTTAAACACCCATTCAAAACAAAAATTGAAACAAAACTCATATCTGACTCTGTACTTACAATGTTTATTCATGCAAACTTATTATCGATGCTGTATGGCTAGGATAATGCCGATCTAACGTAAAGGCCAATTCAAGGGAAACTATTTCTTTGGGCATGGGATGACTTCCAGCTCAGATTTGACAGCTCCTTGTCATTGTCAATTACATCTGGCGTTGAAATTCACATCGTCTCCCGTATTTGCACGTGAACCACGCTTTGCAGTGGTAGTCTTTTTTATAGGAGATATCTGTTCTCCCGCGTGAGCGCTTTTATCTGATAGTGAACGACCTGTGGGATGTTTATCTGTATCATAAATTGCAACTGTGTAATGTGACTAACAAATTGTCTGCTTTTAAATTTCATGTTATTACTTTTCTGTTTTTCAATGACAACGTAATGAATAGATGTTTTTTTAAATAAAACTCATTTTGACTCTGTACTTACAATGTCTATTAATGCAGAATAAAGCTGTCTTTTGCAGTATTCAAGAACATTCCATGAAATATCACCAAATTAACTGACCGGTTCAGGCTGATATTCAGTCATAGTATAAAGAAATATGTTATGAAGGCTCACAGCAAACTGTCTATAAAACAAACATTTTGAAAATATACATCTTCTCTGCTGAGGAGTATCAAATGTGCGTTTATGTGCTGGATTCCTGCAATCATGATGATGTAGCAGAACGGGTTTGCGCGATCCTGGCACAGTCAAGCTGAAAAACAAACTGCTGGAGTCCCAGTTGTTACTTAAAGCGCATTGCTTTTGGGGCACTGGAATACCAGGACGCGGCGACTGTTGCTAGATTTTACTGGCGCTTCCTGTGATATGAGATAACTGACTGAAGGAAGCGACATTAAAATCTAGCAACACTCGCTGCTTCCTTGAGTTAGTTTTCTCACAACTGAAAAAATGCGAAATCCTCATGTCCCTCACTGTTTGGGGCGTAATTGTGGCGTAACTATTGACTTTTACATAATAATAGTGTGAAGCAAAATTGTTCCACATTTTATTGTCTACAGTTTGGTACCTTCAAAAAGAAAATCCATTGTGTTTTCGCAGAGCTGTGAACCCTATAAAAATGCGTTTTGCCAAATATTGACCAACTTCCAAGGGCAATAACTCCGACACTATTCAAGATATCGACATGCATTGAACAACCTAAGTAGTCCGGAGTGTGGGCTTTAAAACGATATATAGAACACTATTGTACTATTTGCCGTTCAGGAGCAGAGGATTGTAAAACAGAGGCACCGTCAAAAAGGTGCGGAAATGTGCGAAATCGCGAAGGCCGTGTTTGCGTCGTAATGGTGACGTTATTATTGATTTTTACATAACCATGATGTGAAGCAAAAATGTTTCCCATTCAATTACCTACAGGTTGGTACTTAGAAAAATGGAATCCACTGATTTTCCGCAGAGTTGAGACCTTTTTCTTAACCCTATGAAAACGCGTCTTAAAAAATTCACCAACTTTCAAGGGCGATAACTCCAAAACCATTCAAGATATCGACATGCCTTGAACAAATTAAGGTGTCCAGAGTATAGGCTTCCTAGCGGTGTATCGAACGCGATTGTACTATATGCCGTTCTGGAGAAGAAGATTTTTAAAGACAGGCACCGTCAAATCGTGAAAATCGGCAAAAAATTCAGTTTTTTCAAAATAGCGGAAAATTTGACCTGCCGGCCAACTTTCGGTATGTGTTGAATCGGCGGGGAATGATGTTGTCTACATTGAGTGAAAATTTGGTCAATCTACCTCTTATAGTTTTTGAGTTATTCAGGTGCAAAGATTTCGACATTTTGGGTTGTCTGCCCTTACCGGAAGCCGGAAGTCGGGATTTTGTCGCCATTGTATCAATTTCAGTATACAGGCTATCATCCCTGAAAGTTTCATGCAAATCGACCCAGCGGTTAGGTCAGGGGAGCGGGTACAAAATCGGTACAAATAATAATAATAATAACATTCGGATAAGAACAGTAGGTCTTCCAGACTTTCGTCTGAATTCATTTTTAATTACACTGTTTTAGTTTTACATGCTAGTTTTATGTTCATATCTGTGATACTCTAGTATTTGTACTGTCCATCGTCGACAGGTTTAACTCTTCACAATATTTTCATTTTTGTATTATATAAATTGTTTTCGTCACGATATGGCTGAGATATTGCCGATTTGACGTTAAATATTAACTCACTCACTCACTAAAAATGAAGTTCCCCTACTTTTTTAAAGAAGATATATTCAGAACATATTTAGAAAGTATCTTCATGCATGCATGTACAAATAGGTACGTACATATAGCCATGCACACAGATACACAGACAGATTCGATTATGTGGAATGGCAATCTTTTCTTTCTAATGCGAGCGTGGTGTATTCCACGTCACTCAAACAACGGATGGACGTTCGCTTGAACATTTCGCTTTAGGGTTACCTGCTACACCCAACAGTTCACGTTTGTCACTGAAAGCATACCTGTTGTTCTTAGCATATGCGTTACAAGATGGCTATTGGCCAGTCTGTCTCACTTCCAGATATGTTATTTTGTCTCCGTTTGTCTGTTGTTGAGTCATGTTGATAGACTATATATTACATCGGAATTGCAAAATGATATGTTCCCATGTATGTGGAAAGGGTTTGTTCGCCTTTTCTTGAGAACTTAGACAAATTTCACTTTAACCTTCGAACTGGTAATAAGAGCTACATTTGCTAATTCCAGTTGTGTTGCAGGGCTTGATCTTGCCTTCATCGTCTACCCGGAGGTCATTTCTGCTCTACCTCTGCCTCAGCTGTGGTCTGTGATGACCTTCCTGACCTTGATGTCTTTGGCTATCGATTCTATGGTAATGAAGAATCTCTCAGAAATTCCCTCTGAATCAATGAATAGTCTTTTTTAACATAAAACTTATTTATCTATTTGATCGTTTACGTGCATCTGTGCAGGCACCGGGTGTTGAACTTGTCATCGCTGCCTTGGAGGATATGTTTCCGCGGTTGATGAAGCGACGCTGGCTCATCATTGGTGCTGTGCTCCTCAGTCTCTTCCTGACTAGTTTGATATATGTTTCACAGGTAACAGGTTACATATACTGCAAATTGCACCACGTATGCCTTCACGATGTTACCGCCCAGTGACACCTCCTGAATAATATGTAAGGTACAATGATCCCATCCAACGCCATTACTGACCCAGCCCTAAGGCAGTCGTTCAATATAACGTTAACGGCAATATGCCATGAAAACGCTCATTCCGTCTACGCCACACCCTGTTGCATCTTTTAAGGAAGTTAAAAGTCAAATTTGATTCATCTGACAACATAACATCTGCCCAACGGCGATTGGTCCTGCCTCCTCTCTTGACACCAACAACGTTTCGTATTTTGGTAGGTAACACAGTCGTTGTGATAGGACAGTCTTATGCGCCAGTTATCGTCCTTGGTCGACCTCATCAACGTTTGTCTATCGGTATTGTCCTGGTAATCTGCTAATTACTGACTATGAAACGTTACGAGCTCATGCTACAAAGCTCTGTATTGTTCCAATATGCAACTGCACGTAGCCGTTCCTTACATGAAAGACGATGGATGCCAAGACACGTCGTCTAATTAACAATATCAGCTGAACGCACGGCCTGGTTTTTATCGCTGAAATGTAACACTGATACGTTTCACTGTAAACTGCGACTTTTACCTCGAAAGTTGTCACGTACACATCATGAAAACCGCTTGTTAGAACTAAATTGATAACACATTGTGAATGAAATAATAATTTTCTAAAACCATATAGATTCATACAACTTTGTTCCCAACTAATATGACACCAAATTGGTATATGAGTGAGTGAGTTTAGTTTTACCCCACATTCAGCAATAGTACAGCTATATGGAGGCGGTTTCTAAATAGTCGAGTCTGGACCAGGCAATCCAGTGATCAACAGCATGACCATCGATCTACGCAGTAGGGATACGATGACGTGTCAACCAAATCATCCTGACCACCGATGCGATATCATATGACAAGCATGGGTTACTGAAGATTAATTCTCCAAAATGGTATATCCCGTACTATTTTCAATAGTATATTGAACATGTAACTGTGAACGTATCCGTTTGGTCCATTATATATAAAGCGCAGGTATTAGTGAACATGTTGTTCTTGCAACATGTCGTAGTTTTCATTTTCATGAACACTTGAAAGATTCAGGGTAAGATACGAGGCAATTTTCGTGGAGCACCCTGCATTCACTGATAAGTGAAAATACATTACTATAACAGCCACCCAGTTATGATTTCTTGTATATTTCCTAGTGCTAACTAAGTATACCACAACTGTATTTAATAAACAATTAAAACAGACCCCTGAACTTTAATTTCAACTGAAACCAAAATATTTCATGATTGGAGTTTGTCTAAACAGACAAAACATATAATATAGAACATTTAACAAGCGAAAGGACACAGTGAGCGAATATGGTTTTACACCGTTTTTAGCAATCTGCCCGCAATATCACGACTGGGGACAACACGTGGGGAATCATGTTTTCTGCGTGACTAGTGCATACCCCCGACGCATTCGGAAAAGTCCGAGATATGATTTTCTCCTTACAAAACTAAGCATGGCTACTTAATTATTTTTGCGACGAAAGCTTGTCAAGTTGCTCCAAATGCGTATGAATATTAGGGAGTTATTATACCATATCTTTATCCTTTTTGATCAATATGTATATTTCAGGGTGGGATATACGTGGTGACGCTTGTGGACTGGTACGCCTACTTCCCATCGACGGCCGTGTTTGGCATCCTTGAGTGCATTGCTGTGGGTTGGTGTTATGGTAAGGATGCATCAACCTTGGTGCCTTTAAAATGTCAAATCACTGTGTCTTCCTTCAATTTGAATATTAATAAGTCAACATAGAGTATTGCATCAGACATCAAGTACAATTTATAATGTATTCCGCATGTCTACAATAAAACGTTTTGTCGGTCTTACTGAAGCATCGAATGTTGTTACCTTTGTCGCACAACGTCTGAGCAAGAGTTGACGCTATTTGAAAAGAGCATGTTCGATCGTACATCAAAAGTTGTGAAATGTAAACATAAATGGCTGAAACTGTTCGAATATTGCTCGATATGAAGGAGCGGTTGATTGTCGCACACTTGAAATCAGCTTGAGAGATTTTTTGTGTTACACTGAACACACAGATCTAAATATGAAATACATGTGGCGTCTCGCTTGTCTCGCTTCTTTCAAGTTCCGTTTGCAATTCAGAGGAAGGCAATTGACTATTTGATGTCCATTGATTGATATTAGATCATTAGTTACTATTCTGATTTTGCAATCCCGAGTAGAAATTCTGATCCATATGCATAAAGAAACAGATCAACAAGATAAATAGCACAGTTGGCGCCCATTGGGATGCCTTCTTCTTTCACTGTATTTTACAAAGATGTTATCAATGATGAGAGGACATTTATAGACAAATGTCCTGTGGTTCAACTCACAGACATAGGCTAGTCAGTAGTTGACATGAGAAAGTTTTACTTTGGCCTACAATGTGGTAACTCAAACAGCGTGTGGGTACATAGAGTACGTAAAGACATCTGAGACTGGAGATGCTAGGATAATGCTCAACATAAATAGATACAATTATATTGTGACTTCGTTCAAGATATATCCCATGTTCTCTGCATCTTTATCTTACGTTTCCTTGGGAATCTATCAATTTGAATGGTTTGTTGAAATGATAAAGAACAAAACCATCTGACCGATTTCAAAAGTTGGTATTAACGTATGACGAGAGTTACCCACGGTTCTAAATATTGGTGGCTGATGGTAGTAAATTGGAGCTTGAGCTGACGACATTTAGCTTCAAGAATGGGAATTAATATTTTGAAGGTAATGGTTGGTGTCGATTGTCACCTGCTCGCGTATCGACTAATTTGCAAACGTGTTCTTGCTCAGTCCATTCAGGAACTTATTTTGCAAAGCTGGACATGAATAATTCCAAAATCTATCAACACATTATATTTGATTGTGCTCTTTTCATTGCCCCACGTAAAATAGGCATGCTTGCTATTATTACATATGTGAAAAATATCTCGTGATTTTTCCCTCGAAGGAGCAAAGAGGCTTCAGGAGGATATCCGTACGATGTGGGGAAAGACGATACCTCGGGTCATGGTCATAAGTTTCAAGTTTGTGTGTCCTCTATTTCTAGTCGTAAGTAATTCCTGACTGCTACTTTCATACTAGCATAAACCTGAGAAATTGTTGTGCATCCCACAAAACTCATTAATTTTGTGAATAATCTCTTTTTAACATGTATTCCTCTGATCGGCTAAACTGAGAAATGAATCGCGTGAAAAGCTGCAGTCAGCAATATTCCATCAATATCATGTGGATTGTACATATTGTATCTAAGTTTGAACCAGGCACAAGCCAACTATTTGCTAACATTACGCCTAACCGAACTAAGCCAATCATCTAGTAACGATCGTAATTTATGGAGTCTGTTATTAGTTATTGGCATGAAGTACTGTAGAACCTTCCGGCCATGATTTGCCTATCCATGTGTGTATTTATTGTTTGCTGTTCCTAAATACCACAATATTACCAGCTATATGACGTCATACTGTAAGGTACGGAAGCGTAATAGGGCCACGGTGAAAAATTTTTGGGGGTCACTATCTCCTACGTAGGACTTAATATCTCCTACGTAGGACTTAGTATCTCCTATATATCTCCTACGTAGGACTTAATATATCCTTTTTAAGGATGTTTATTAAGTTGAGAAATGTCTGGCTATGCAGGACGTTAGATAGTCGAAATGTGAGTCAGTAAATATTCATGACACTAACGCAGTGTTACTGTACAATGTTATTGTGTGTGTATTACGTTAGGGTGACGTGGACCCTGTTCTAATTGCAGTTATGGAGGTTTGGGTATGGTTATGTTTAATCTATCATACATACATCTATTCACACACACAAACACACACACACACACACACACACACACACACACACACACAGAGGTGGGTGGGATGGTTGGGGTGAGGTTGTGATATGAAACTCGGGTTATAACACGACCTCCGCAAGTTGTTGCTTGCCTTGATGGGGCTAGGTTGGATCGGATGCAACGCTCGTTTGTGGTTTTATTCGTAATTGTTTACAGGTTAACTTGACTGGGGTGGACAAGTGTTGAGTGCGGCGTAAAACAATACGAAATTCAAAAAGGCAAAGAATTGTCTTTATAGTTATTTGTATAAATATAAGGGGATACGTACACATAGATTGCCACCTATAGTCTAAGACACGTCTGTACACGCAGATTATGATTCATGTGCAACGACCTCTGAAATATCCAATGCATAATAGTAAAGTGTAACAGTAAAAAGTGCAACATATAACAGTGAACTAACTGCAACGTGTAATAGTAGAAGCAAACTGAACGCAAGGCAGTAAAAGTATAACAGTTGGTCCAACACAGTACTAATGTGCAACAATTAGTTGAACAGATTGTGTGCGTGACTCTAATAAGTGAAGGATTAAGTCATATGACTCTAATAGTGAATTGGAGGAGTCCTACGTAGGAGATATTAACTCCTAGGAGATATTAAGTCCTACGTAGGTGATACTAACTCCTACGTAGGAGATATATAATCCGAGATATTAACTCCTACGTAGGAGATATTAAGTCCTACGTAGGAGTACTAAGTCCTACGTAGGAGATACTAACTCCTACATAGGAGATACCCACTTAGGAGATACTAACTCCTACGTAGTTGTCAGTAACTCCTACGTAGGAGATACTATGTCCTACGTAGGAGATACTAAGTCCCACGTAGGATATTAACTCCCACGTAGGAGATATTCAGTCCTACGTAGGAGATACTAAGTACGTAGGAGATACTGTATGTCCCATGTGGCAGTTGGTATCTCCCTACGTAGGAGATACCTACGTAGGAGATACCCACTTAGGAGATACTAACTCCTACGAAGGAGATACTAAGTCCTACGCAGGAGATACCCACTTAGGAGATACTAACTCCTACGTAGGAGATACTAACTCCTACGAAGGAGATGCATTTAGGAGATACTAACTCCTACAGAAGGAGAGGAGATTAGTCCCATACGTAGGAGATACTATGTCCCTACGTAGGAGATACCCATAGGAGATACTAACTCCTACGTAGGAGATACTAAGTCCTACGTAGGAGAGATTAAGTCCTACGTAGAGAGATATTAAGTCCTACGTAGGAGATATTAAGTCCTACGTAGGAGATACTAAGTCTTACGTAGGAGATACTAAGTCCTACGTAGGAGATACTAAGTCCTACGTAGGGAGATACTAAGTAGGAGATATTAAGTCCTACTTAGGATATATTAAGTCCCACGTAGGAGATACCACTTAGGAGATACTAACTCCTACGTAGGAGATATTAAGTCCTACGTAGGGAGATATTAAGTCCCTACGTAGGAGATACTATGTCCCTACGTAGGAGGTACTCCAAGTCCCTACGTAGGAGATACTAACTCCTACTTAGGATATATGAAGTCCTACGTAGGAGATACTAAGTCCTACGTAGGAGATATTAAGTACTACGTAGGAGATAGTAAGACCAAAAATATTTTTTACCGTGGCCCTACTACGCTTCTGTAGTAAGGAGATTCAGAAAAAGAAACAGAAAAATATTATCATTAACGAATCACACCGTCGGTTCATGAGGGATGACATATAATCCATCAGCTCTGGTTCACTTTACACCTCTTTGACAAACAGAGCGTTACTGGGTATCAGTTCTAAACATTTCTTCACAAAGGGCCTTACGGGGATATAATGACAATCGTAAAGAAAGTGCTAAATATAGGGATATTTCTCTACGATCCTCAATTTTGTAGTTCAAGATAAAAATCATAGGTTGACTGTGTGTTTGTGTTACACTCCAACTGTTGTACCAGGTGATCTGCTGCTACTCCTTCTACTCCTACCGACCCCCAAAGTACGGGGACTACATCTACCCCACCTGGGCAACAGCTGTTGGGTGGCTCATATCCTTTTCATCACTCCTGCCGTTTCCGATTGTCTTCATCTGGACGGTTTACAACACTCCAGGAGCAACCATGCAAAAGGTAGACGCAACGAAAAGACTCAAAAGTATTTTAATCTGCTTGGAACTCATTCGGTGTATACTGTCATTTATATAGCTTATTTCTCTGACTTGTACTTTGTTGACTGAGTTTGGAGTCACATTCAAATTATTTACGTTACGAAAGAATCCCAAAAGAACCAAATGTGTTCTCTGTTTAAATCAGTTTGTTTGAGATACGCATCAATATTTTGCTGCCTTTTTTTTTTCTTAAATCTAACAACATGTAACTTACTAGAACTAGCTGTTGGAGTGTTTTTGGTATCTTTCACATCTCATGTCAACATCTGTAATTCCTTGAAGGATTCTGTGATTGTAAAACATCACCAACTGTTGGATGAATATCAAGATGTTTTTATCACATAGACAAATTTCAGAAATTGAAGAAATCGTTCAAACCCAATGAATACTGGGATCGATCAACGCCTCAGGAAGATGTCCCTGGTGTGTTTCAACCAATGGTGGTACTCAGGACATGCGTTAACTCTTAAAAGCCCAAGAATATTTCTTCAAAGTTTATTTTCTTTAATTCTATATTCAATGGATACATATAACACTCTACTTTCGGTTCATCTTCACCGTTTGAATTCTCTCGAACAGCCTAAGTATATAATCTTCATGTTATTTTCTTCAGATTTTTTTAATGCTATATTCAATGAATACAGATGACTCTCTGTTTTAGTTCACCTTGTGCTTTTCTCAAAATGGAACAGGCTTCATGTGTATTTAGAATATCACAGATATATGTTGTCTGCTCGGCTAATTGATATTTGCTCTCATTCTATAGTGTGAGAAATGTCTATTCAATGGAATATTAAAATATGGCTATTACTGCAGATACGGCTAAATGCACACTGACAAAGATCACCACTTGTTTTCTGGAACAACCGAAATGATCCCTATATGAGTTAGCTGTTAAGATTTGTTGTCCTGCACCATGTTTGCTCCTTTGGGAAAATGTGATCGACGTTACAAAGGAGATAGTTGATGCTGCGTTCACATGATTCATAACGCACGCGGAGTATTGAATTTCGGTCTTTCTATCAGACTGGATTCATGCAGATGTACTATCAGAGGAGGGCAAAGGCAGATATTATTAGAATCTACTATTGTGAGTGTGATTTCACCTTTCATGATGACGGGGAAACATGCATGCCCATTGTATATGCTGACGTAATTTGGAGCCACATACTACCACAGACTGTTTAAAATACCTTTGAAAAGAGGTCACAGGTCGATTTAAACATGACACCTGTTACTAAAGTTCAACTTTAAAATATTCATAGTCTCGACTAGTTCAAAATAAAGGTTTAAAGAACATAGTCTTTAAAAAAAAGAATTAGACAAATAACCTCCGAGAATGAACCCAAAGAGGTTCTACTTTTGTTGCTCCTTGTTGCAAATTTGCACTCACCAATTCATTTCTTTGAAAGTGATGCGAGAGGTCACCTCTTGGAGAAACAGAAATGATCTCTATTTGAGTTAGATTGTAAATATTTTATCTATTTGAGCGGTTAAGATTTGTTTCCCTGAACCATGTTTTCTCCATGGGGAAAATGTACTCGACGTTACAAAGGTGATAACTCAAGCTGTGTTAACATGGCTCCGTGCCTGCTTCTAAAAGTCACCTCATCAAACTTGATCGCATTCAATCTAGAGCCCTTAGATTTTGCACTGGAGCTTTGTAACTACTTCGGTCTCGGCTCTTCAGGTTGAGTGTTCTGGCATGCCCTTGTTTCTCAGACGCCAAAATATATCCCTGAAATACTTATGAAGATGAAGACTATGGACAGCTATAATTCAGTGACGGATATACTTTATGACTATGTGGCGTATGGCATGTGTGACTGGTCTCATGGCAAGATTCCGTTTGGGTTAAACATTCTGATATTAGCAGCACAACATGGAGTTGTTAACTTTAATCCAGTAAATCCAACTACACCATCTGAAGCTGCTCCTTGACTTCTTCTTAAGCCAGGACTATGTTATGAACTCAGTTCCATCGTTCAGAAGTATATGAACCCAAATATGGTGATAGCGATTTCGGAGGAGTTGTTTTGGGAACGCTATGCAGATTTTACACACATTTATACTGACGCCTCCAAGGATTCGGCCATGATCCGTAGTGCTGGTGCTTTCTGGATCCCTTATTACATTATCTGCGATGTGTTCAGGCTTCATGATTATATATCAGTTTTTGCAACAGGACTCATAGCAATTCTACAAGCACTGAGATTGGTTGATAAATATAATCGCGAAGCAATCATTTTTACTAATTCATTGTCAGACATGAAGGCTATTGAGTCTAGAGTAAATGGGTCCAGCAATGATACTGTTTATGAAATTTTGAAACCAGAAACAAATTTGAATACTAATGTCGGTTTGCAGGGTAATGAAACAGCAAATTATCTTTCTAAGTCAGGATTGATAAAGGATAAGGTTGATAATTTTGAATTCAAGCCTTACCAAAGAGATTTCGAATGTGCCATTGGGAAGTCGGTCTACTCATATATATCATAGTTCAACTACAATTAGGGGCGGTGGGGTAGCCTATTGGTTAAAGCGTTGGCTTGTCACGCCGAAGACCCGGGTTCGAATCCCCACATGGGTACAATGTGTGAAGCCCATTTCTGGTGTTCCCCGCCGTGATGTTGCTGGAATATTGCTAAAAGCGGCGTAAAACCAAACTCAGTCAGTCAGTCAACTACAATTAATGTGTTGGACGTAAACAGACCCTACTTCTGATCCAAGTCGCCCTAAAACTATATCACCACCACCATCACATACTCCTACCGAAGATGGAGTATTTACCTTCCCATCTGACTACTCTTACTATGGACACAGAGTTGAGAAAAAAACATACATTATTGGATTCTACCATTCAGAGTGTGATTTCACCCGCGGGTAGTTCTAGAACGCTGTTTGACCTTATGTACCATAGACCTGACCCACACCGATATAGTTTTAAAGAATCAGTGTTTAAACTGCATTTCAGCACACAAGAATCACTGTGAACGTGTCTACAAAGCGTGAATATTATACCGCTGGAAGTAATGTGTTATATCGCACATAAACTGTGTAAGATGCAACCTAGTGTTTTTTGTCCTAATATCCTCTTGAAGCGGAGCCATCATAGACGTTCTCCAGTCGTGTATATGGTGCATGTGTTTAGATATGCCGGCTGTTATCACAGTCCCTGTGGGGACTGCGCAAAACTAAAACAAAACTCTGTGCCATTTACAAAAATTGAGGAAGACATCTGTCAAAACCATTTACCAGTACAATATTCTGTTGGCTTAGTACTGTCAAGGATGGACTCCCTTTATGTTCACAGAAAGCATCTGAGAAGAGTGAGTGAGTTAATATTTATCGTCACATCGGCAATATTTCAGCCATATCGTGACGAGAACAATTATTGATTACATCATATATCAGTAAAAAAAAAAAATTAAAACCTGTTGACGAAGAACAGTAAAACTACTAGTATATCACAGAAATCCAGTTAAAACTAGTGATGAAATCTAAAACATGTTAGCTAGAAATGACAAAACAATGTAAAAACAGGCTATAGAATAATAATTCTAGAATACATGAAGGTAAATGTTTTAAAAAACCTGCCAACGAAGGACAGTAAAATCAACTAGAATATCACAGATATGAATATAAAACTACTATGTTACTATAAAACAGCTGAATCTCAGAAGACAATACAATATAACAACAGGCTACATATTGCCAACAACTGAAGGTAGATCACCTTACTAGGGACCATGGGGACTTACAGTACATTTGCTTCCTGCATGGACCCTAGCTGGATTTACACCATCCCTTCAGCCGTTAGCAGTTTAGACACATTTAGCCATACATTAAGAAACCCACATATTTTACGATTAAAGGGTTGGATAGATTTAAATTGACTTGACTGTTTTGGGACTTACGTACCTGAGAAGAGTGAGTGAGTTGGGTTTACGCCGCTTTTAGCAATATTCCAAGAATATTACAGCGGGGCACACCGGAAATAGGCTTCACACATTGTACCCCATGTGAGGAATCGAACCCGGGCCTACGGCATGACGAGCGAACGCTTTAACCACTGGTCTACCACACCGCCCAATTTACAAAGAGTGGAATTAATACCATGTGGATCCTCGAAAAGCTTAAAATGACATTCTTTTTTTTAATCACTTTATTTCTTTTCGATCTGGGTACAGCATATCATGCAGATTTAACAAGTCAGCATTTTTTGTTGCTTTATATAGGAGTCAAATTACAAAGTCATTATCTATGTAAATAGATTGTGGCAAGACGTCCAAAATGTAACAAAAGTGTCGTATTTGCAGTGAGAGTATGCATTAAATTTGTGTAAGTGGTAATTGTAATTCAATTTTGGTTTCAGACTAGCGAGAGAAGGTACAATGTTTGCTAACTTTCTAGAATATATGTACTCTTTAGGTTATATGAAAATAAAATTCAGTACATCATTTCTTCTCTCTGTGAATCCGAGAATAATGGTTTCTGCGTTTAATTTCAAATGGGTGTCTATTTCATTTTCAATCCATTCTAGTAGATCTTGCAACATATTTTTGACATGTTTGCATTCATATAATAAATGAATGATAGATTCTATTTCAACATCGCAAAATGTACATAGTGGTGATTCTATTAGTTTGTATTTATATAAATCTTTTTTGGTTGTAAGGATCCTATGGTTAATATGGTATTGAAGCCATCTGTGCCTAGCACTATATGATGCTCGAAATGGTATAAAATTATGTGTATTCCATAGATTAAGAGTGATATTTATGTTCAATTTTTTTTCCCACTTACTTTGATAAAGCAGTTTTTGGTTAATAGCTTCCTTGTGAAGAAGCCTGTTGTAAAATATGCTACATCCTTTCTTAGCTTTGAGTAGTATTTCCAAATTAGGAGGAATAAAAGGTAATTCTTTCTGAATATTAATTTTGAACGAACTCTGTTTTGAATATATATACAATTATTGATTACATCATATATCAGTAAAAAAAAAAGAAATTAAAACCTGTTGACGAAGAACAGTAAAAATAGTATATCACAGAAAACAGGTTAAAACTAGTAATGAAATCTACAACAACTGAAGGTAGATCACCTTACTAGGGACCATGGGGACTTACAGTACATTTGCTTCCTGCATGGACCCTAGCTGGATTTACACCATCCCTTCAGCCGTTAGCAGTTTAGACACATTTAGCCATACATTAAGAAACCCACATATTTTTTTTTATCACTTTATTTCTTTTTGATCTGGGTACAGCATATCATGCACATTTAACAAGTCAGCATTTTTGTTGTTTTATATAGGAGTCAAATTACAAAGTCATTATCTATGTAAATAGATTGTGGCAAGACGACCAAAATGTAACAAAAGTGTCGTATTTGCAGTGAGAGTATGCATTAAATTTGTGTAAGTGGTAATTGTAATTCAATTTTGGTTTCAGACCAGCGAGAGAAGGTACAATGTTTGCTAACTTTCTAGAATATATGTACTCTTCAGTTAATATGAAAATGAAATTCAGTACATCATTTCTTCTCTCTTTGAATCCGAGAATAATGGTTTCTGCGTTTAATTTCAAATGGGTGTCTGTTTCATTTTCAGTCCATTCTAGTAGATCTTGCCACAACTTTTTGACATGTTTGCATTCA